ATCAGACCAACTGGCTTGGCCATTCTCATCTTACCAGTTGTGCCATTGTGGACAATTTTATCATCTTCTCCAGATTCAGGGTGCCTATTTAAAAATTGGGACAATAATAGTACTTACCCCACTGGATTATTTGAGAATTAACTGAGCTAACACATACAAACCACTTATGACTGGATTAAGAAAATGTGGTTATATGTATATATACACCATGGAGTACTACTCAGCCATAAAAAGGAATGAAATAATGTCTTTTGCAGCAATTTAGATGAAACTGGAGACCATCAACCTAAGTGAAGTTCCTCAGGAATGGAAAAACAAGCAACACATAAACTCTCTAATAATTGGGAGCTAATAGATGGGCATCCTGGGGCACAAAGAGACATAAAGGTTATGGGAGAGGGGTTAAAACTTACCTATCAGGTACAATGAACCAATGAGGAGGAGAACACTAAAAGGTTATGGGAGAGGGTTAAAACTTACCTTTCAGGTACAATGAACCAATGAGGAGAACACTAAAAACCCAAACTTAAGCATTATGAAAGGAATCCATATAACAAAAACATTTGTACCCTTTAACATTTAAAAATTAAAATAAGAAGAATCATTATGCAAATTGAAGCTATGACCCTAAATTAAGCGTTTGGGAAAGAAATGTATTTTTACATTAAAAAAAACTTTTTAAAATTATAAAAACACACATAAAGTATTTACAACGAGGCCTGGACCAGAATAAGTGCTTTATATTTGAATGTTTGCCAAATAAAAAATTTTTAATGTTTAATTTTAAAGGATGACTTAAAGGAGGAAGAGCAAGTGGAGAAAAAAGGGGAAAAGCTGAGAAGAAAAGAAAAAGATGCCTCCGCAGGTGGGAACCCCTACCCTACCAGACCCCCGGGACTCACCAAGCCGCAGGCCCCACCCTGCCTCAAAGGCCCCCCACCAGGGGCTTCTCTGCCTCAAGACCGGATGCTGCCGCCCAGCAGCCTCAGATTCTGCCCAGGACTTTCGGGTCCTGACTGCCTGGAGGTGGGGCTGAGGGAGCCCGAAGCCCACTCCCTTAGGCCTAGAAGAGATAAGAGGAACTTCTACCCAAGTCCACAACCCCCTCCCCCGACCCCGGCCGGGCTCGGAGACTAGAAGTGAACCTCTCCGCGCAGACAGCGCCAGTCTCCTCCCCGGTCGCCATGGAAACGCACGCCTCGCCCTTCTAGGACTTGCAGAGAAGTCTTCTCAGTGGTCCAACCTTGCGGACCCTGAAAAACTGTAACTGAAATCACACCTTGGCTGGTTTGGAACTGTTGGTACGTTGGTGAAACAAATTAACTTGAATATGAAATTTATCTTCTTTAGCGTACGAAGAGAGAAAACAAAGAAAATGGAAGCATGAATTCATCAGATTTTGAATGTAAGTTGCACGGGGCAGAGATCTTTAACCGTTTCGTCCACTCGTATTCCAAGCTCTTGGAACAGTTGCTTCAGAAATGTTTGCTAAATGGATGAACTAAAATGGGTTTGAAAAAAAAAAAAAAAAACATTGCCACAAAGCAACTATGCTTGGTAAAACCATTTGCCTCATCTCAGTAGCTTTATTTAAAAGAGAATTATGTACCACATACATTTAAATGTTACAGTTTTTAGTTTTATGAAGACCTACAAGAATGCATTATTTAAAAATATATCCTGTGTTTTCTAAAATATATTTCCGATATATGGTATTTTTCCTGGAATATAATTTCATCGTGTTATATGCCAATATAATGATAAGCAGCAGACAGAAAATATTCAATGTATGTAAATGATGGAGTTTAGCACAAATATATTTAAAAGTTTCAGGAGCTAGTCTATATTTCCGCATGTTTTTTCTCCGGGAAAATGTAGTAAATATGTTTTGTTGGGTTTGTTTGTTTGTTTGTTTGTTTTGGTAGACTTTATTTTTTAAAGTAGTTTTAGGTTCACAGCAAAATGGAGTTTAAGGGACAGAGACTTCCCATATATTCCATACCTGCACAAGTGCATACCTCTCACACACTGTCGACACCGCCCCACCAGAGGGGAACATTTGTTCCAACTGATAAACCTAGATTGACACATTATTATCCAGAGTCATATTTAGGGTTCACTCTTGGTGCTGTTTATTCTGTGGTTTTGGACAGATGCTTAATGACCTGTATGCACCAATACCTATCTATATGCAATATTTTCATTGCTCGAATCCTCTGTGTGGCTCGGTGCCCTACCCCTCTGTGTGGGTAGGACGCCAGCCACATATACCAGGGCTGGCGGGTTCAAACCTGATCCAGGCCCGCTAATCAACAACAACAACAACAACCATAGCCAACCAGGAGTTGTGGCAGGCACCTGCACTTCCAGCTACCTGGGAGGCTGAGGCAAGAGAATCTCTTAAGCCCAAGAGTTTGATGTTGCTGTGAGCTGTGACATCACAGTACTCTATCGAGGGCGACAGTGTCTCAAAAAAAAAAAAACAATCCTCTGTGCTGAGCCGATTTATCCCTTCCTCCCCGCAATCTATGGCGACCACTGACCTTTTTGTTGTTGTTCAAGATGCTACATATATAATCTTTTTATTTTCTCCATTGTTTTGCCTTTACCAGAAAGTCTCGTGTTTGGAATCATACAAGATGTAGCCTTTTCAAATTGTCTTCTTTCATTTAATAATATGCATTTAAGTTTTTTCTATGTTGCAAATCTGTTTTAGGTTGTTCTTTCCTGCGTTAGAGTATGAACTTTCTACAATGAAAGTGTGGGAAATCCTTTTAGAAAGGCAAATTCCAAGAAAACAATTGCTTCAAAAAGCAGCCAACATAACAAAATGAAATATGTTTATTTAACCAAAGACAAAAATCTTATACTTTCTAAAGTCCTGAGTTGAACTGGAAATAATGTTAATTAAAAGATTATCAGAAGGAAAATGTAAAAGACCTGTGGCAGTTAAAATGAACCAGCTAGAGCTTCGTTTTTTATTAAAGATAAATTTCAAAAACATAAAGTGAGTACTTTGTATATACTTGGAAAGTATTCTTGACAAAAGTATTGAACCTGTAAGAAAATGTCCCTTTTTTAAAAGATGTATAATGAAGTTGAGATACGTGTGAGGTTTGCTTTAAAATAACAATGGAGGAGAGGAATGAAACAAGTGTGGCAGGATTTTATTTTTTAATTAGAAGGATAAGTATATGGGGAGTCATACTCAACTTATCTGAAGGCTTAACATCGTCTTAATGAGTTTTTGAAAAAGACAGTAACAGTAACTTTTTTCATGTTTGTCGCAAAACTTCTGCCCAAGAGTTCCTTCTGTGACAATAGGGTCGATACAGTAAGATTTCTGCCACCTTGAGGTTTCCCACCCGTCATCGACGCTCCCCAAATCTTCCAAGGCTGAACCAGTGAGAGCAGGGAGGCGGGGAATTGCTAGGGAACGCCTCGACCAGCGAGTTGAGACGTTTGCTAGAAAATCGCCGGAAATGATTGTTGGAGGACTAGAAAACGGAGCTGGTCTGTATTTCCGCATCTCTTTTGTCTGCGAAAGTGTGGGCCCCAAGGTCTGTACCTTGGGCTGGTGTGGGACGCGACCTGCCGCCGAAAGGGGAGCAGGTGGGCGTCACTCACCTCTCTTAAATACATCCCCTTCCTGGGGCTCCCGAGGCTGCGAGCAGGGATAGGGGGCTTTGAGACCAGATGGGGGAGAGAAACCGCTGCGATTTCCACCCTCAGCTATTCCCCAGGATGGGCTTTTCCCACTGTTTTTCCTACTCCTAGGGTCCCTGACTCGTTCTGTTTATTCTTCTCTCCAGCATCCATTCATTTATTCTTCCATTCAGCCCATTTTTAACCCAGCGCTTACTAATGCAAGCACTGTTTCAGATGTTGGGACTGCACCAGTGAACAAGACAGACAAAAATCCCTGTCCTCTTGAAGCCTAGGGGACTACATTTATTTTAGCGAGAGAACTACACGCAGTATATAAGTAATTCATGCACCATGTTGGGAAGTGATAAAGTACCATAAATAAAAAGAAGAATTAATGGAAACCAATGTAAAGCATATCAGGATTGAAAGGAGGGGATAAGTTGCCATTTTAAGTCAGATAATTACAGTAGACCTTGGGAAGGGGACATATCACTAACACTGGAAGACGGCAAGAAATCATGGGGATAGCTTGAAGGAAACAGCCAGTGGAAATGACCAAAGATGGAAGAGAAAGAAGGTCAGTGTGGCTGAAGAAGATTGAATGAGAATAGTAAAAGATCCGAGGTACATGGTTACACACTTTTTTTTTTTGACAGAGTCTCACGTTGACGCCCTTGGTAGAGGAGTGCTGTGACGTCATAGCTCACAGCAACCTCAAACTCTTGGGTTCAAGCAATTCTCGTGCCTCAGCTCCCTGAGTAGCTGGGACTACAGGTGCACGCCACAACGCCTGGCTATTTTTAGAGACAAGATCTTGCTCATCCGCCCGCCTTGGCCTCTCAGAGTGCTAGGATTACAGGTGTGAGCCACCGCACCTGGCCATAATGGTTACATCTTATGAACTTTCATACTTTTGTTAAGGCCTTCAGCTTTTATTTCGAATGGTAGAGGTTAGAAGTAATACTAAACATATTCTGTAGGGCCTTTTATGCTTCTGTAAGAACTTCAGCTTTTATTTTGAGTAAGACTGAGCCATTGGAGAATTTTGAGCAGAGAGATGAAATAATCCAACTTAAGATGTAGACAGACCATTCAGATTGCTCTACTAAGAGGAGACGGAAGGAAAGCAAGGATAGAAGCAAGGATACCAGTTAGGTAGCTACTGCAGTAATGACAAGGAGAGGAGGTAACGTGATGATGGCTAGCAGTTGAGATTCTATTTTGGATATATTCACATTTTTAATTTGTCTTCCTGTACACCCTCATTTCCCAGAGATGCCTCAGGTCCTTGGAGATTTCCTCATTTCTCTGTGGTCATATTCTCTTCTCTTTTCCCTGCATCAGATATTCAGAAAAACAAGATGAGAGCTCACAGCTGGTTTAATGTTGTTGATAAACCTCTAATTTGGGGCAATATTTGACACATCAAACCAAACAGCAGCTGCCCTGTGGGTTAAGAAGGGTCCTTGGATGCCACCAACAAGACTTATGGACCCCAAAGGAGACTGACATCAACAGGGGTCACTTTACAACTTGTTTGGGAGCTGGATTGAACCAGAAGGAAGAAACTAAGACAGTGGCGGAAGACTGCAAAAGAAAAAAAGATGGAGGAGGTAAAAAGAAGAGGGTCTGCAATACTTAGCAAGAAGGAAGAATTGAATCCAGAAAGAAGGAAAGCTGTGGGAAGGGTGGCGGTCCCTCCTTCTAAATAACTGTTTTTCCTTCTTAACATGGTGATCATTAAAACTTTGTAATAAGAACTCTAATAGCGCAATCAGTTAGTGCATGGTACTGATAAAACTTTGTAGTAGTAGAGATTAATTAGATACTATTTCTGTTTTTCATAAGTATATTAGGAACTGAGTCCATGATTTCCTTCCCCCTTTTGATATTTGAAGTGACAGTTTCCATGGACAAACCTTAATGGTTGGTTGCATCTTCCAATGTATTTTTTCTCATCTCTATAACAACTGTGAATTCATTCTGTGCCCTGCAATAGGTTGTACTGTTGGATGCAAGTCCAGGACCACCAAGCCAGCTACTTTGGAAACCCCCTGATGCCCAGCTCCTTCTGGAAAGAGGTGAGGCAGACAGGTTATTGTGGCAGGAGTCATGACAACTGAGAATGGAGTATGCACATATAATGGGTACAGGATGCCATCTTGGGGCCGGAAAACCTGTTCATTATTGAGCACATATAGAAAGTTTTCTGTTGTTTCTGTGCCAGTCTCAGATCAGTATCAAGAGGACCTAAATTATTCAGGTTTTGCCCCCATCTTAAATCAAATTTGGAAAAAAACATCAAAGGCTTGTATATGATTCCACAGAGCAATTTTTCAAAGAATTCGAATGCATTCGATCATGTACTATATGTATAACTTGATATATATGATAAATAGTATATACATATTGTACATAAATATTTACACATATAAAACTCATGGTATAATTCAATACTTCCTATGCAACCATAATTTTGTCAACATGTAAAATTGAATATATGTAGCTTTACTTTTGTAGACCTTTTCAGAACCCTGAGGCTTTTAAATTACATTAAAGGTACCTGTCAAAATGGAAGATAAAGTGGTGATAAAAGAAGGAGCAAAGATTTTCCCATGTACCTCTGTGCCCTTTGGTGGCATATGTGAAGAGGAAAGTGGTTAAGATTTATATAAAAGGAGCTAATAGTACTGAGATCCAGGATATGATATTTAGCAATTCTGGAATCATCAGATCAGACCTAGAAAGGCATAGACTTTTGGACAGCGGACTAGGCCCACTCAAAAGTGGGTTTTTTAGAATGTTACCTGCAAAGGAAAAGTAAAATGCATTTCTAATGTACCATTAGCTTCCAGAGGAGAAATCCTAAAATGTTGCATGTACATGGAATTATAAATAAAATTAATAACATAGAACATTTTTATAAGTTTAGAAATAGAAAATAATTGACATTGCTAAAGTTGAGTGCTAATTTTATTTTTTAAATATAAAAATGTATACATTCTTGTGGTTTACCTCTGACCTGTGTCTTCTGGTCCTTTTTCTCAAGATGTCTTTTATTCTCCTCCAATGGATTTGTAGGATCATAAAATCTACAGTTACCTAACATAACCTAAGTGCATTTATCTCATCCTAGACCAGTGGCTCTCAACCTTCCTAATGCCACGACCCTTTAATACAGTTCCTCATATTGTGGTGACCCCCAACCATAAAATTATTTTCATTGCTACTTCTTAGCTGTAATTTTGCTACTGTTATGAATAGTAATGTAAATATCTGATATGCAGGATGTATTTTCATTGTTACAAAGGGGTCACAACCCACAGGTTGAGAACCGCTGTCCTAGACAATATCTGTATACTATTTTAACAATTAAGTTTGTGAGGGGGGGGAGGATGGGTGAAGAGAATGATATTGTGGGGATCACGCCTATAATTTATCCTATGGGTACAGGTGAATTTGTCTAAAGGTTGAATATAAATGTCTTAACATAACAATTATGAGAAAGACATGATGGCTATGTTAGCCACTTGGATGAGAGTTTTCCAAACTGCATATAGAAGTAACACACTATATCCTATGAGAGAATGAATGTACACAATTATGATCTAATAAAAAACAAATTAAAAAAAACAATTAAGTTTGTGAACTCCTCCTAAAAAAAGTGCTACGTACCTTATTATTGAATAGAACTATGGTCAACTTCAAGGTACTCCCCTTGGGAAGCTGTGCACTGATGCCAGTGTTTAGTGTACCCTTCAAAGCAACTTTGGAACTCTTTATCTGGAATGGCCATCAGAGCTGTTTATCTTATAAAGTCTGGCAATTAAGTTCACAAACTCAACCTAGAAAAAGTTGCTACCAACCTCATTGTCAAATATCACTGCCATCACCAGATGGCCAAGAGGAGTGCAATGAAGGTAACCATAGTGATAGTCAGCAATGAGTTATGTAGCACTTTTTCTAGGATGAATTTGCACACTTAATTGTTAGACCTGGTACAATGACAGCTTTGGTGGCCATTCCAGAAAATGAGTTCCAAAATTGCTTTAAAGGGTGGACAGGGTGCTACATACTACAGAACAAAAGGTGTTGCTGTAAATTCTGCTTCTCCAGGTGAGTTTAGGAATTTTTGAAACAAAACATTATAAAGGAACTTGGGGCTTTTTGTGTGAAGCAGTGGAAAAACTGAATGGAACTACCATGCTTAAGATACAGACTTGGTGGGTTAAAAGCTAAAAGTAGCCTAAACTGAGTCTTGGATGATTTCTATGAGAAAAAGTCAGTTGGTTCCAAATTAGAGTTTTAGTAAAATCAGAATGATAGTTTCAGGCCAAAGGGTAATCCTACAGTCTTAAGAACAGATGTCTTTGACCCTGTTGATATTTTGAGAGCAAAAAGCAATCATTCATAGTTGGATTTAGGATTGTATTGATGAAGTGTCAAGAAAGATAAGTCAGCTTAAACATGTAAGTTACAAAAAGGTTGAGATGACCTGCAAAGGATAAAATAGGGCTCCATAAGTTAGTAATGTGAAACCTTCTCACTCAATGGTATGGATTATACATGGACACACCGATAAAGTTTCTTTTGCATTTTAAAATGCTGTGTGTGCATTTTAAAGTGGTGTGGGAAGGATGGCTTTGTACTAAGGAATTAGTAGGAAAAAGGCTCATAATCACAGGGTAAGAGTGATTCTTCTCTAATTAAGAACAAGGAAAAAGAGACCAACCTAAGCCAAAGCAAGACCCTGTCTCTACAAGGAAAGCTGGGGATTGTCATGGGAGGTTATAGTCCTAGCTACTTGGGATGCTGAGTTAAGATCATTTGAACCCAAGAGTTTGAGGTTGCTGTGAGCTATGATGCCACGGCACTCTACCAAGGATGACAAAATATGACTCTATATAAAAAAAAAAAAGAAGAAGAAGAAAACCAAGGGAAAAAATTCTAATAAACTATCTGGAGATAGACCAGCCATTAAGTTACCTGAAGAAATAAGCTTTGGGCCTAACCCTGGATATTTCTGTTCACGTCTCCCCTTACCATTTCCCCTCTCCTCCACCCACATGTCTTTTGGAGGAAATGACATCAATATTCAAACACAGAAAGAAGAGTTATCCTATAAGCTAAGAATCAGTGATTTGGGTCTTTTTACCTGGTATATTTGGAAGAGGTTAAGGTTATTCCAGGAAAGATAGACCAGAGGAAAACATATAGTAGGTGAGAGGAAAATGCACTTCCAAGAGTTGGTTTGGCTGCCGTGCCAAGGCCTGATGCCCAGCACTGGAAGATGAGACTAGAAAAATAATGGAGAAGGAGGATACTGTAAGACAATAGACTTAACCCTAGGTTAGAATGGCAGGAACTTCTACATTTGCAGAAGAGAAGATGAAAACAGAAAGTTTCATTAATACTGTGCAAAACTTATTCTTGGCTTATTTCTCTTCCCTCAGCTCTACCAACTCCTCAATATCCTGCCTGTGTCAAAGATGGAGGCCAAGGAAACCTACTAGAAGCAGATACGACATTGATAACCCAGGCCCAAGTGAGCTGAGGCCCCTTTCGTCCTTCCTGAAAAAGATATCACAACTTGCTAAATATGGCCTTACTTTCACTGCCTTCACTGGTTGTGTAGCTCCCAAATCAAGGTGCTCCCTTCCATAAGACACATTTTGTTGGATGACAAACCACTTGTGGGTTGTTTCCTTTTACATTATTTTTCATTATTGAAAGCCCATGGTCCCTTTCACCTTGTTTCCAGATATTCACCACATGATAACAGCCTTTCACTTCTGTAAACCTTCTCCCTACAAATTCCTTTCTTCTGCCTGTCTCCTGGGGAAGCTATGGAGTTTTCTCCAGGACAGCATGAACATATTGTTTCAGGAGTCAATGATGTTTGAGGATGTAGCTGTGAAGTTCACCAGCAGGGAGTGGCAGTATCTGAGCTATGATCAAAGGCATCTCTATAAGGATGTGATGTTGGAAAATTATGGGAACATGATATCACTTGGTAAGGATCTTCTCTGCACTTGGCTTAGTGCTTTATCCCTTCCTTTTTTTTATTTAATTGCTTTGTTCATTGATGTATATGGGATCTCATATTGAAACTCATAGCCCTCATTCTTTATCATCAGGGCCTTGCTCAAAGTTAGAATTTTAAGCTGCCTCTGTTACATAGAAAGATAATTTTTTGGCTACCTAGTTGCTACTTTCTGATTCTTTGGAATGGACTCTGCCTGGGTGAAAAGGAGACACTTAGGTTCTGTTTTCCCTACGTTCTTGCTTCATCAAGCATCTCATTTTTTATCAGGTGTTCTATTTTGAGCTCCTAGTCATGAACTACCTTCTAGGCACACAAAACTGATAGTCTTTCTATATAGATTCCCATTCTCCTAGGAAGGACAAACCCCTGAATAAACTTTTCTCTACCTAAATAGATGTTTCTCTCCTGTCTCCATATGCAAACAGAAGGATCAGGGTTAAGTGTTAGGACAGTTCTGTATTGGTGTATATACTCTTATTTCTTCTTTACAATCAGGATTTTCATTTCCTAAACCTCATTTGATCTCTCATCTGGAGCAAGGGGCAGAGCCCTGTGTTCAGGATCTACAGGATAGAGAGTTCCTGAGCTGTTCCTACCCAGGTGAGTGGTAGAGAAGCTTTCAATCTTTCTGATCTTCCATGTGACAATGATTACAGAATATTCTTAGAGGTGGGTCATCCATCCTAAAGGGCCCAAGGAAGGAAATCCATTGAGGATTTAAGGGGAAAAAGAAAAACAACACAAACAACAAACTATTGGGGCAGTTATTCCGTCATTATCTACTTGGTTCTTCACAGTGTCTAATAGACTTTTTGCAATTTGGCCCTCAAGGAAAACTCAGAAAATTTATCACCGCTTTGTGTATGAGTTACTCCCACTGCACAGAGAACAAGAAATTAAAGGAGGGGAGAGACAAAAAAAATAGAGGAAACATATGAGAAAATATTGAGAAGTAAAAGAATATGAACTAGGAATAATTCATTATGACTAGAGTAAAGGGCTTGGGGTAGATTTGGGAAGGTTTAGGAGCAGTAGAACAGGACAAGATCATGGTTTTGTTTGTTTGATTGTTGTTCTTTTAGGAGTTTTTAAAAACTACAAACCTTGAACTTACCTTTTATAATAACAGCTAACATTGATTTCAGTACTTAGTGTGGCAAGTGCTTTGCATACATTAACTCTCTTAATTATTATGGGTAGTCTAGAGCCCATTTTATACATATGTGTGTATATACTTTTTTTTTTTTTGAGACCAAGTCTCACTCTGTTGCCCTGGGTAAAGTACCATGGCATCATCCTAGCTCACAGCAACCTCAAACTCTTGAGCTCAAGCCATCCTCTTGCCTCAGCCTCCCTAGTAGCTGGAACTATTGGTACCCACCACAACATCCAGTTAGTTTTTCTACTTTTAGTGGACATGAAGTCTTGGTCTCAAACTTCTGAGTCCAAGCAGTCCACCTGCCTCATCCTCCCAGAGTGCTAGGATTACAGGCATTCAGCCACTGCACCCAGCCTAGAGCCTATTTTTATATGTAAAACATCTGAGGCAAGAGAGAATTTAAGTCATCCTCCCAAGTTCACAGTTACAAGTCATCAGAAGTGGGTTTTGAACACAGACAGTCTTGCTGTAGCACTGGGACTCTTGACTTTTGCTTTACTTCCTTCCTGTCTGGTTAACTATGGAGTGTTATTGAGGTATTTTGAGCTAGAGAGTAACATGATTAGATCTGATTTTTAGAAAGAATAATCTGGAAGCAGTGTAGAGAATAGATGAAGAAAGACAGACTAAAGGACACCTAAGGAATATTGCAGTTACCTAGTAAGAATGCACTGGCAGTAGAAATGAAGAGGAATGAATAGAATTGAGAGATAAGACAATTGATTTGTATTCTTTGGATGCCAACAATAGAAATTAACTCAAGCTAGGCTGGTCACAATGGCTTACACCTGTAATCCTATCACTCTGAGAATGGCACTCTGAGAGGATGAAGGGGGAGGAACAATTGAGCTCAGGAGTTTGAGACCAGTCTGAATAAGACTGAGACCCCATCACTTCCAACAAGAGAAAAACTAGCTGGGCATTGTGGTGAGCACCTGTAGTTTCAGCTACTTGGGAGGCTGAGGCAAGAGGATCACTTGAACCCAAGAGTTTGAGGTTGCTGTGAGCTATGATGATGCTGTGGCACTCTACCCAGGGTGACAGAGTGAAATGAACTCAAGCTAGCTCAAGCAGAAGAATATGAATTTATTTATTACTCAAGGCGTGTCATGGAACCTAAGGGCAGGTATGTTATTAGGCCTAGAAGAAACTGTAACACCATCAGACCCCTGTCTCCAGCTGTTTTCTTTGTGAGTCAGCTTCATTTTTCTTTCTTGGCAGATTGACCTTATTCTCAGACCAGATGGCAGAACATTCACCTCTATATTATAGACCATCCCACCACCACTGCTTCTCAAACTTAAGTGCTAAATATTTAGCTACTTTTAGAGCCTGGCCTTACCTGCCCTCAGATCACAATTGCATACTCCAGGATGAGAGAATCTGGCTTGATTTGGGTCAGTTACTGCTCAGATCTTATCTGCCCTACACTGATGGGCTGAGTTACCCAGCAGAAATACGGCTCTCCAGGGCCCATTCTTAGGAGCAAAGCAGACAGTTGAAAGGAGACTACATCAGCATTTCAGCACCCCTTTGCATCTCACTTCGTAGGTAGAATTTTGTAAATGTTAGTTAAGTAAATATGAGAGGGGGGAGAAGGAATTGAAGATGGTTTCTAGTTTCCTGGTTTAGGAAACTAGGTATGTAGAGTTTCTATTCACTAAACTAGGAGAATCTAGAGGAGAAATAGGCTTGTAAGGATTCTTATATAAAGTTTGCCAAGTTTAAGATATCTAAGTTTTTTGTTTTCTTTTGTTTTTCAAGCCCTCCTGACTTTGGGCCACAATGTTAGCAATTTTTCCACCATGGAAAAAGCAATTTACTATTTAGATAGCTTAATACTTCTTCATCTCTCCCATCTCACTTATTTCCTTTCCTCTGGCATTTTTATTTTCTCATTTAAGTGTCAACTGATAAGACATGGCCTGACAATGAGAAGACAAGTTCAGAACAAGAGGTTTTTGAAAATAGAATAATCAATAAGGTGAAATTTAACAGTCTCCTGGAAGTTGTTTCCCAAGATCCTGAAGTTGGAGAAGCTTGTCTTCAAGGTGTCAAATTTGAGAATCAATGGGAAACACCTATAATGAGAGAAGAGGAAGGCAGTTCTACAGAATTGGCCTTCAAAATAGGAAAGAACCCAAAGATACTTAGAAAAAACTTTAATCCAAACTCAAAACATTTTCCATATAATAGAGTTCTGATAGCACAGAAATGCCATGAATGTGCCAAGTGTGGCAAAAACTTTAATTGGCATTCAGATCTGATTCTCCATGAGCAAATTCATTCTAGGGAGAAACCCCATGTGTGTAACACATGTGGGAAAGCATTCAAGACCAGAAATCAGCTTTCTATGCACCAGATAATCCACATAGGAAAGAAACCCTTTAACTGTGCACAGTGTGGGAAGGCCTTCAATAGTAGATCAGCTCTTTGCCGACACAAAAAAACGCACAGTGAAGACAAGCCTCATGCGTGCAGGGACTGTGGGAAGACCTTCAAGACAAGAAACCGACTCTGTGTGCATCAGCTTGTCCACACTGGGGAAAAGCCTTTTGAGTGTAATGACTGTGGGAAGGCCTTCCAGTTTAAGCATTCCCTTACCATCCATGTTAGAATCCACACTGGAGAGAAACCATACGAATGTGAGCAGTGTGGGAAGGCTTTCAGTGGGAGTTCAGACCTTACCAAACACACAAGAATCCACACTGGGGAACGACCATATAAGTGCAGTGAGTGTGGGAAGGCCTTTAGTCAGAGCTCAGACCTGAGCAAACACAAACGAATCCACACTCAGGAGAAACACTATGGGTGTCCCCAATGTGGAAAAGTCTTCACTATCAAGGCAGAGCTCACCAAACACAGGAAGATCCACACAGAAGAGAAATCATACAAGTGTGAGGAGTGCGGGAAAACTTTTCGTCATAACTGTAAGCGCAGGGCTCATGAACGAGAACACACTGGGGAGAAGCCCTATCAATGTGGGGCTTGTGGGAAAGCCTTCCAGGATCAGCACTGCCTTACTGTCCATCAAAGAATCCACACAGGAGACAAGCCTTATAAATGTTCAGAGTGTGGCAAAGCTTTCAATGGGAAGTCAAACTTAACCAATCATCAGAGAATCCACACTGGCGAAAAACCTTACAAATGTGAGGTGTGTGGAAAGGCCTTTCCTCATAGTTCAGTCCTGAGGCAGCACAAAAGAATCCACACTGGTGAGAAGCCATATATCTGCTGTGAGTGTGGCATGTCTTTCCGGCAGGGCTCGGCTTTAATTGGACATAAGCGAGTTCATACTGGGGAGAGACCTTATGAATGTGAGGAGTGTGGAAAAACTTTCAGAGTGAGCTCAAATCTTACTGGACATAAGAAAAGAAAACATTGAATATGGAGAACTCATGAACTTGATGAGAGAGGTCCAGAAAGTTTCTCAGACCTCAGCATTCAATATTTGGAACACCAGTGCCTGAGTGTAGTGATTTTGGTATATACACTCTGTTTCTTTTTCTACTTCTTAGACTGTTCTTGTCTTTTATATTGGTTATTCATGATTTCCTAACCCCTAATTGAGAGATTTCCCCCAAAGGCATTGTCCTTTACCTTCCTATTTAGTTCTTAATTCTTCAGGGAACACATTTATTTCCAAGAGTTTGTCAATCACTTTATAATAAATATAGTGAAACCTCTGTAAGTTAACTACCTAAGGGACTGTAAAAAAACTGGTTGACATACAAAGGTGGTCAACTTGAAGCACTAGGCCTGCTGTACTAATAGGTACACGTGGTGCATGTCCAGTCTATGAAAATTAGATCAACTTAAGGAGGTGGTCAATGTAGAGAGATGGGCCAACTATGGAGGTTCTATCATACTTACTTGTCTGTGTCAGGCACTGTTCTAAGGTCTGTATGCAGTTTAACTTGTTTTATCCATCCAATAGAAGGAATTTGAAGCATAGAAAGATTATGAAACTTGCCCAGGATCACATAACTAGTTAATTCTATACAAATGATCCCCCCACATGCATGCACCACATCTTTTGGATGTGAACCTATACCTCAGTTCAGCATGAAACAGTTTTTTAATTAATAAACGATCATTTTTAGCAAGTTTTATTTTACACAAAGCTTGAATGATACTTCATATTATATCAGAATTGCTGGTATTCAGGGTTAAAAGGGAGGTAAGCAGACTTTTAAATTAACAGATATGGAGAAATAACCTGTACATTGCTCAAGTAGAAGTACACTTATGGAAAGAGTATGAAACCTGCAACACTTTGAGTTACCAGCAGAAGGAAATTTTTTCTTTTTTTTGGCCAGGGCTGGGTTTGAATCTGCCACCTCTGGCTTATGGGGCCAGCGCCCTACCCTTTTGAGCCACAGGCACTGCCCAGAAGGAAATTTTTTAAGTATTTATTTTTAAAATATTTGCTATGTCCATTTGCATGACATGTGAAATAGTCTTTCAAATTCATTAATAAGTTTATATCTTTCAGGATGTTAGGTATCTCATATCCATCCCTTTCTCTATACCCTCTGTATTTAGTCCAAATAGATTATTTCTTTTCTTTTCTTTTGGAGACAGAGTTTCACTTTGACATCTTTGGTAGGGTGCCAAGGCATCATAGCTCACAGCAACCTCCAGCTCTTGGGCTCACGTGATCTTCCCTCAGCCTTCCAAGTAGCTGGGAATACAGGTGCCCACCACAACACCTGGCTATTTTTAGAGATGAGGTCTCACTATTGCTCAGGCTGGTCTCAAACTCCTATACTCAAGCAATCCACCCACATCAGCCTCCCAGAGTGCTAGGATTACAGGCGTGAGCCACTGTGCCTAACCCCAAATAAATTATTTCTAAATTCTACCTTCACCAATCCATCTTCAGCATGATTGTTGATTGCTATGATCCTGATTCTAAAAGCTGCCAGTTGACTCCTAATCTTATAGTAAGAAACTCCAAATTACTACCTTGACCTCCAGAATCTACAAAATGAGCATTGTAAGAAAGCATATGAATAAATTTCAGATATTTTACTTGGCAAACAAGATTTTTGATTTGTTTTGAAAATTTTGAAAAGCTACTTTGTGAGGAGTCTTGTTAATCTTGTTCTGCAATTATCTCAGGGCATCAAACTACAATCCATGGGTAAAAACTACAGATACACATTTCTGTATAAGAGATCCCCAACTGGAATAGACTGACTTGCTTTAAGTGATGTTGAAGGAATTCAGAAGTCAACATAATTGAATGACAAAACAAGGTACTATTGCTTGAAATCCTAAAATAACTGTAGTTCTAATTCTGAAGAATTACTAAAACAAGAGTTGCTGATCTTGTTATAATTTACTTAGGAAAATCACCAGATAAAACTCACTTTTTTATCCAGCTTCCAAAAGAGTGCATAGAATAAATATGCATACTGAATTCTAATATCTCTAGCCTACTTTCCTCACTGTCTCCAAGAATGCTAAGGGTCAGGTTTTCACCTTTCAGGCTAAAGATTAAAACAATTCTGTAAGAACCACAACCAGGAGAATATACCTAAAGATATTGACATTAGGAGTTTCTCAGCAAGCAGCCCACCCAGATAACCTACAATACAATACAAACTAACAAATTCAAGTTACAGTACCAGAACTTCATATCAGCTTTGTAGTCCCTTCTATTAAAGAAAAAGTCTATTAAAATTTCAAAACCATACAAGAGTAAAGAACATGGAAAAATGAATTCCATATGCACATCCAACTTCCATAATTTTTGATTCAGGGTTATTCTTGTTTTGTCTATATCCCACCCACTCACTCTGGTCAAGATTACTTTGAAGCAAATTTTAGAATTTGTGTTTATCCGTAAATATTTAATTATCTATAGCAGATGATAAGTCTTTCTAAAAAAACTAACAATAGATTCCAGACACATGTCTATCATCCTAGCTACTGGGGAGGGTGAGGTGGGAGGATCCCTTAAGCCCAGGAGTTCAAAACCAGCCTGGCCAACATAATAAATAAATAAATAAAATCCTAATAATAGTACAATTATCACACCTAAACAAAAGATATCTATTTTGTTAATATCATTAAAGATTCATTTAGTTTTCAAAATTTTCTGTTTCTGTTTTACATATATATTTGAGCAGAATATATTAAATATTCAAAAATCCAAATATTCAACTAATCCATTGTGATTAGTTGGAACCTATCTTAAGACTTTTAATACATAAGTTTCCCCCACAATCATTTTTTCTTGCAGTTTAGTAAAAGGCAAGATATTTATACAATCTGAAGAGAAACCATAGTATTTTCTTGCAATTTCTTTAATGATTAACTAGATTGTACTCTGGCACTTCACCCAGTTTGCATTTTATTTATTGCACCCCTTTGGTGGTATTTAACATATTCCTCTGCCTCTATGTGTCCTATAAATTAGTAGTTAGAACTAGGGGCTTTATCAAATTTAAAATAGATTTGGTTTTGGTTAAGACTGCTTCCTAAGTGTCAGTCCAAACCTTTTTGGTTTAACATGAGTATATTAGTCTTTCATAGATTCCTTGCTTTCTGGTGAAAAGATTTACCAGGTTTAGCTAGTATATTTCCTTAAGACAATCCTTCTTTCTAAAAACTAATACTGGAAGAATATAAAATCTGAATAGTCTGATACCAATTATTTATCTTTTTTTTTTTTTTGAGACAGAGTATCACTCTGTTGCCCTGGGTAGAGTCCCATGGCATCATAGTTCACATAATCTCAAACCCTTGGGTTGTGGTGATTCTCTTGCCTCAGCCTCCAAGTAGCTGGAACTATTGGCATGTGCCACCACACCTGGATAGTTTTTGTCGAGACAGGGTCTTGTTCTTGCTCAGATTGGTCTTGAACTTCTCAGCTCAAGCAATCTGGCCTCCCAGAGTGCTAAGATTACTGGCTGAGCAACCAGGCCCAGCCTAATACCAATTATTTTTATATACCTAGAAAAAAACTCCAGACTCAAATAGTTTCACCAATTAATTCTATTAAACATGCAGGGAAAAATAATGCCAATGTTAAACTCATGAGGCCTGCATAACATTGATAACCCCAAAGAGAAGATTAAAAAAAATTGCATGTCATTATTATTCATGAATATAGTGAGAAAAATCTAAAATATAACAAACTGAATTTGGTAATATACATGTGTGTTTGAGGGGGGGAGGGGCTGGGGCTGAGTTTGAACTGGCCACCTCTGGCGTATGGGGCCAGTGCCCTACTCTTTCGTGCCATAGGCACTGCTCACATGTATGTGTTTTAAAAGATGATATATCTTGAATGAGTTAAAGTAATTCTAGCAATGTAAAGCTGGCTTAGCATTCAATACTCAGTGAAGATAATTTACCATGTTAACAGAATGGAGGAAAAAATTATGTAAACATTAGATAACAGCAAAAATTTTTTTTTACAATATTTTTTAAAATCTCAGCTGGACGCACAGGATCACTTCCAACCTGCATGAGCAAGAACTAGACACTCATCTCTACAAAAAATATAAAAATTAGCCAGGTGTGGTGGCACATACCTGTAGTCCCAGCCACTTGGGAGGCTGAGGGTGGAGGATCAGTTGAGCCCAGGAATTTGAGGTTCCCGTGAGCTAAGATGATGCCACTGCACTCTATCCCAGGCAACACAGCAAGACTCTGTCTCCCCCACAAATTAAGCTATAGGTTCATTACAGCCTAACTAAAAACCCTAACAATGCATTTTTGTAGAAAGTGACAAATTGATTCTAAAGTTTATATTGAAATGCAATATAATTCTTGACCAAGAATAGCCAAGTTAGTCTTTAACAAAAATAACAAAGGTATAGAACTTTAGCAGATATCAAGATGTTTTAAAGCTATGGGCAATTTGGCTTTGGTATAAAGACAGGCAATAAACCAATGGAACAGAAAGAAAGGCAGAGATTTGTAAAAGGCAAGATTTTATAGTTTTATAAGTAAGTGTTGGATAATATTAATATGCCTTCAATTCAAAAAAAGATTTCTCAAGACGCCAAAAGGGGTAATCTTAAATTAATTTGAAAAAAAAATTTTGGAAACTTCAACTAGTTTAAAAAGAAGGAATTATTTCATCAAGAACACTATAACAAAAGGAAAACTACAATTTTCTCATGAATTGTTAAGAAAGATATCTGGAAGAAACATTTGGATCATGTGAGTTGCTTTTCTTTTTGTTTTGTTTTGTTTTGTTTGAGACAAAGTCTTACTTTGTCACCCTCGGTAGAGTGCCATAGAAATGCTGGATAGCTCACAGCTCACAGCAACTTCAAACTCTTGGGCTCAAGCGATTCTCTTGCCTCAGCCTCCCAAGTAGCTGAGACTACAGGCGCCTGCCACAACACCTGGCCAGTTTTAGAC